CCCCAAAACCCCAAAACCCCAAAACCCCAAAACCCCTGTAGGATGTATGAATATTGAATAAAATTTAAACTAAAACTTTGCTATAATAATAGTAATATCGTCAATAATCTTCTCGTTCTTGGCCCATTTTTCACGAGATAGACTTACTAATAACTCAGTCATTTCTGAAATATCTTTTCTGTGGTGTTGCTTCAGAAATTTGAGCACTTCAATCACAGAAAATTGCTCCCAAAGACCATCAGTAGCAAGGATGAGGAAGTGGGTCAAACCTTGGCCTTTCTGGGGAACTCGGTATTTTCGGATCTCTGGAACACAAGTTACTCCCACAGAATGAGCATATGTGTCTCCAAGAGATCTGGTCATAGCTAATCCTGGCTTTTTACATCCTGATTTCCATACTCTTTGAGGTCCAAATGGGTTTCCATTAGGATCATAAAATGGTTTGATCTCGCCACCTGAAAGTTCTATTCGAACTTTTTCTTCTGGAATGTCACAAGCATGTTCTTTTGAAAGAGAGACTGCGCTCCATTTTTTGTCTTGGTCATAGGAAAACAAGACCGCTTTGGAGTCTCCAACATTAGCACAGGTGATCTCAGTTCCATGAACTATACAAACACATGCTGTTGTGCCGCTAAATTTAGGGTTTCATAAGGGGACAGATTTTGTTTCCTTTTTATATGAATCTGACGAATTATCCAATTCGGGAACTGATTTAGAAGAGTCTTCCTTCTTAACTTTTGGAGCTTCTGATGACCCATGGCCACTAGTGATTGACTCCTGGATCTTTTTAAAAAAGTCCTTGATACAATCGGAGTCTTTCTCGAATACCTCGCTTAGTAAAGGTTTCCCTAGACCTCTTGATGTAGTAGCCTGTTTTGGAGGATTAACATTAAAATTATTTTTGCCAAGCATTATGTTTCTAGGATTTCATAAATTCTTGCCCTAGAGGTTACAAGGAAAGAATTACCTCAAGGTCCTGGCTGAATATATCTTTAACTTTGTTAGACATCAAATGCCCATGCTTGCCATGACCATCAAATACTCCAAGTAGTGCGATTTTATCGCTTGATTTCGGACATTTTTCTTCTTGGCTAAAATATAACTTTTAGAACCATACAGGGCGTTTTTGATATCAATGTTTGGCTTTGGTTTCACACCATGAATGATCCTAGCAACATATGAGTCCTGATTCTTCTTATCTGGACGAATGGGGATATACCTACAGCTTAGAAATGTTTGGTTTACCCTTTCACTGACATATGGTGGAACTGCAAGTTTTTCATAAGAAACTTATCATCTAAATGATAGTAATAGTACAATTTACTGCTAGGTCTTGAGTTGTTGTGAAAATTATGATGAGGATGCTTCCTAAACATAAAAATTAATAAAATACGTTTGTCCTGGAGTAAATGCCAGCGAAGGGTTCAACGTCTGCCTTAGGCATCTGTTGCTGGCCTCTTTCTTGTTATCAACTTGCCTATTTTAGTAGTAAACTTAAGAAACTTACAAGGAAGGTAAATGGGTTGCTAATGGCTGCTTGAAAGTTTTGCAGAAGAAGTTATGGCTCTCTTTGTCAGGAGTCTTAAAATCTCTTACTCCGTTCTCGAGAGGTCCATTATATTTATACTTCATATCCTCTTTTAATTCTGCCATTCGGTTATAAGGATCTATAATTAAATTGTAAACTTACGAGGATGTAGAGTTAACTGGTTCTTAGATAGCCTGAAGACTTCTAGTCTTGACTGTCACTTGGACCGAGTGCTACTATTTCAGAGATATCCATCAAGGATGTTTAGCCTCTCGCTTGAATTACCTAATTTTTCAGGGAATGCTTTCTTCGATATTCTCGAACCCATCTTTGCTCTACTTTTCTTGTCGTACTTTATCCTCTCAGCTTGAGGAGAGCGCTGAATGAGCCTTTTCGATTTGAAGAAAAGTGGTTCAGAGCCTTTCTTCGCAGTGTTCGACATAGAATTCTTTCTAGAGAATTATGAGTTTACTATTTTTAAATCAAATTTACTTTAATATTATCCTGGCTGTTTCAGACTCTTTAAGGGGGATTTTTGTATCCTTGAGATCAAAGTTCTATATTTCAGTGTTAGATCTCCTTAGTTGAAGGAGATGGATGCTCACAGAAATGGCTAAAGAAGCTTTTTGCTTTGCTCATTAGACTTTTGAAGGAAATAGAATATTCAACTCACAATAAAGCGCTCTCTGCTTGTATTTTTGGTATGAAAGTTAATCTTCCTTCTTTTCTTTGGATTTAGAGAATGCCTCTTCATCTTTTTCGCTAGTTTAGATGCTATCAAAACTTTTTGTGACGAGTTCATATCAAAAGTAAATAGAATAACTCAATTTATTATTTTACATCTGGGGTTTTGGGGTTTTGGGGTTTTGGGGTTTTGGGGTTTTGGGG